TTTGCACAAGTTTGTCGGCGGATTTCAGTATTGATTTTGTCCAAGATGGTTTTGCTAACTTTGCCGAGATCAGATTTTGCCGGGTTTATCAATCGGCACTTTGGATGGTTTTCGAAGCCGTCCTTGAAGCCGTCGCCAGTCGATGCGACATTCAAACCTTGACTGAATTAATTCCGCTCTACTTATTATGGTATTGAGCGCTCTTCTACCTTACGTCAACTCATCGACTATTTTTTTTAATATAGTCTTCAGTATATATATATATATATATATATATATATATATATATATATATATATATATATATATATATATATATATATATATATCTATATATGTATATATATATATATATATATATATATATATATATATATATATATATATATATATATATATATATATATATATATAGACCCAGCCGCGGCAGACAACATCTTTCTGTTTGCGCTGGGTATGGAAATTATATAATACACACTCTAGAACATTTTCATCTTAATATATATATATATATATATATATATATATATATATATATATATATATATATATATATATATATAATTTGTTTTGTTGTAGTAGATAATAAAGTGCTCAACACTAATACAAATGTAGAGCAAGATATATTTATATCTTAAAATTAATTATTGCTACTCAAGTTTCACGCCTTATTCAAGACGATCTTCAGGCAATTAATTCAGTTTGTGTTTGATTCGTCAGCATCAACGGTCGGTCGCTGACGCGTAGGCTTGTCTTGCGTCATTGGTTTGAATTTGCACGCGCTAAATTTTTCCTTATGACAGCACTTCGCATAAAACTCTGATCGCGTGTTCAGTGAATTGTTCCCTTTCGCTTTCAGGATGCATAACTTCTCTTCCAAACAGAGGCCACATCGCTTTCCACCAGGCGTATACGCAGCAGCTCTTTTCAAGATGGACCACTTGATGCTATAATTTCTTCTACTTTGCTTCAGACTCCAAATATACTTGGAAAGCTTTTTATCAGACGAGTGGTTGTAGAGGTTGAATGACGTTTTGTGGTTCGCGTATCTTTCCTTGAATGGGTTGGCCGTCATTCCAATATATTCTTTTGTATTTCCGTTATCAGTTGTTGTCACTGTGGCTTTATAGACGATGTTGTCTACTTTGCACTTCCCGTCTAGTGGGCATTCATCTGGTTTGTTACAGTTGCATTGGACAGGTTTTTGGGTAGGGTTTCTCTTTAACAGGCGATGGTTATGTCGGGATATAATGGTTTTGACATTCTCCATGCAGGAGTAGCTAACTTTGACTGTGTTGCGGTTAAAGACCTTATGAAGCGGGTTAGTAGAAGGGAAATGTTTATCAATCAATTGTAGGAAATTTCGACCAACGTTAGTGCGAACAGTTTTACTGAAGGGAGGATTAAACCAAATGATGTTTCTATGACGTCTTCGGTTGGTAGATGGCAAACTGGAGGAATTATCACAGGCCGAGTATTGCAGAGGTACATCGTAGTTGCTGCGCTTAAGCGCATCTTCGTAAAATGGTGCAGCAGAATCAAAGGATGCTTGATCGGAAGAAAGTGAGGAGATGCGTTTGATTGAGGAAGGGATATGGTTAATGATAGAAGGTGGGTGGTTAGATCTATTGTCGACGTAGAGTGGGTCATTGTTTGGTTTCCTAAAAGGTGAAAATGTTTCGTTTTTCAAGTCCAATGTGAGATCTAGGAAGTTGACAACATGATAGTTCACCTCTGCTGTTATCTTGAAGCCAATGTTATTAAAGATAGCGTGTAGTTCTTTCCTCGCTTTATCGGCTGATCTGGCTCGTTTAGCTTTCAAAATTGCCAACCCATCATCTCTGTACAGACCAACTTGATTCTTTCCAAACTTCGCCTCAAGTTTACTTACTTTACTCAACTTCGAATCAAGTTGGTCTGTACAGAGATGATGGGTTGGCAATTTTGAAAGCTAAACGAGCCAGATCAGCCGATAAAGCGAGGAAAGAACTACACGCTATCTTTAATAACATTGGCTTCAAGATAACAGCAGAGGTGAACTATCATGTTGTCAACTTCCTAGATCTCACATTGGACTTGAAAAACGAAACATTTTCACCTTTTAGGAAACCAAACAATGACCCACTCTACGTCGACAATAGATCTAACCACCCACCTTCTATCATTAACCATATCCCTTCCTCAATCAACAAACGCATCTCCTCACTTTCTTCCGATCAAGCATCCTTTGATTCTGCTGCACCATTTTACGAAGATGCGCTTAAGCGCAGCAACTACGATGTACCTCTGCAATACTCGGCCTGTGATAATTCCTCCAGTTTGCCATCTACCAACCGAAGACGTCATAGAAACATCATTTGGTTTAATCCTCCCTTCAGTAAAACTGTTCGCACTAACGTTGGTCGAAATTTCCTACAATTGATTGATAAACATTTCCCTTCTACTAACCCGCTTCATAAGGTCTTTAACCGCAACACAGTCAAAGTTAGCTACTCCTACATGGAGAATGTCAAAACCATTATATCCCGACATAACCATCGCCTGTTAAAGAGAAACCCTACCCAAAAACCTGTCCAATGCAACTGTAATAAACCAGATGAATGCCCACTAGACGGGAAGTGCAAAGTAGACAACATCGTCTATAAAGCCACAGTGACAACAACTGATAACGGAAATACAAAAGAATATATTGGAATGACGGCCAACCCATTGAAGGAAAGATACGCGAAACACAAAACGTCATTCAACCTCTACAACCACTCGTCTGATACAAAGCTTTCCAAGTATATTTGGAGTCTGAAGCAAAGTAGAAGAAATTATAGCATCAAGTGGTCCATCTTGAAAAGAGCTGCTGCGTATACGCCTGGTGGAAAGCGATGTGGCCTCTGTTTGGAAGAGAAGTTATGCATCCTGAAAGCGAAAGGGAACAATTCACTGAACACGCGATCAGAGTTTTATGCGAAGTGCTGTCATAAGGAAAAATTTAGCGCGTGCAAATTCAAACCAATGACGCAAGACAAGCCTACGCGTCAGAGACCGACCGTTGATGCTGACGAATCAAACACAAACTGAATTAATTGCCTGAAGATCGTCTTGAATAAGGCGTGAAACTTGAGTAGCAATAATTAATTTTAAGATATAAATATATATATATATATATATATATATATATATATATATATATATATATATAACTACAGACGGTACCGTTTCGGCCTTTTGGGCCTCATCAGTGTAGTGCTGATGAGCAGGATGAAAATATATATATACATATATATATATATACCGGGTGGCCCAAAAAAAAGTACTCCTGTTTGATTCGTAATAACATCTAAACAAGTATAGCTTTTAAAGAGAAATAACTTGCATCAAATAGAGGAAGGACTAACTTAGACTTTGATATATTACAGTTGTATTTCACTTAAAAATTCACGGAGATATTAATCTTTAAATTCGGGAGGATATTTCTGGATGTGTCTGAAATATGCAAAAATCGGCGTATCAAATATTAATCAAGATTTGCCCGACTGAAACATGCACTATTACCAGTAAATAAATGACACTTGACAAATTGTTTATTATGAAACAAAGTATTATTATATCTACAAAATACAAGCAAGATTCATTCGTCCGAAATTCGCGTGTGTTCCTAGCACGAATACGTTTCCTTATTTCATGAGACCACTGCATCGCGAAGGATCGTCATTGGATCGTTCGTAGTTCTGAATTAGGGCATGCTGTCACAACGGAATTGTGAAGCTCTTCTAACTTCTGCAACGTTCTGAAATCTTGTTAAGAACACCCAAACTCTTTTGCCGTTTCTTAATCTTGGCAAGTTCATGGAGTAAACTGAGAATTATATGAAACACAATCAAACCATACAACTCCATAAGACATAACAATTAAGCAACTCCCCAGAGACATGCAACATTTTTGGAACAAAACGTAACAAAATAGTAGCGTTGATACGGTGATGTGTATTTGCAAAAAGCAATATTATTTCCTTCAATAAAGAATATTCATCCTGCTCTAACCGAGAAATAATCTACTCAGTCTGTTTGAACCCATTAAAAACATAAAAAAATTAGGCTATTTAAGAATACGAAAAATTTAAACGCCTGCCTTCCATGGTCAGTCTTTCATGTACATTTAAGTTTGCAAAGACCTAATATTAAATACTTGCATAATTTCGAACGTTCATATTTCAGGAAACAATGAGCTAAGACTTATATGTAAGATGTCTAAATCTACGCCATATCCCTTACAAACCTTAACGATAATTCGCTGAAATACAAGTTAGCCTAATATGTCATTAAGCAAACAAACGCTGGAGTTAATATTTGATATGCCGATTTTCGCTAATTTTAGACACATTCCAAAATATGCTCCCCATTTTTAATATTAATATATCCGTGAATTTTTAAGTTAAATACAACTGTAATATGTCAAAATCTAAGTTAGTCCTTCCTCTATTTAATGCAAGTTATTTCTCTTTAAAAACTTTACTTGTTTAGAAGTTATTACGAATCAAACAGGAGTACTTTTTTTTGGGCCACCCGGTATATTAAAATTTATTTCAATATTAAAATTATAGTTAAAATAGGCTGATAATATAAGGAACTCACGTTTACACAAGTTGAAATATATCATCGAAAGAGATTGAAACAGTTTATTGGCCTCTTGGGAAGTAATTCCTTCTCTTTCTGCTTTCAGCAAACATTCTTTTCGGCCTCTGTTAGGGAAAATATTTATCTGTCAGATCATAAAATGTGAATATAATAATAATACAGTATGTAAAAGTAAAATCTTGATTGCAAACGTTGCTAAGTTGCTTCAATCACCTCTGCCTTTTCTCGACTTCACTCGCTTTTGCAGGCAATGGAAGTCCATCAAATACAATATAAGGAGTTACTCCTGCTCTTCTAACCACTGACAAAAACTCACAAATGCTTTTCGAAAATATCAGCCAACCTGGAACATAGAAACACCGTGACTATGTCTATGGTACAACTTGTTACACCGTGACTATGGTACAACTTGTTACAACTAGTTGTAACAAGTTGTACCATAGTCACGGTGTAACAAGTTGTACTTGTTCCAACAGACCTGTCGCGCGTTGTTTTTGTCAAGTCTGCAGCAAGCTTGTTATCTAACCTACGACAAACCTGTCCACAACAAACAATTTTTGTCCTGTCACAACAAGTTTCAACAAGCCTGTTGTTGGGAAACAAATCGAAATTGTGAGTAAAGAGAAATCCGGCTTCACTTTCTCATTCAATCATTGTCATTAGTGGCAACACGGTGGGCAAAAAAGACAGCAAATTTGGCCACGTACATATAACTTTCTGTCGTTAGTTTGGAATATCACGAAACTCCCTCACAGGATAGAACTTAAAGGTGCTCTACAGTCCGTATGTAAACAAAGCCTTTGTTTACATTTTTGTGTCCAAAATATTGAGCTTTATTCGACAACTATTTATATTTTCAAGCTTCTAGAGTATAATAAATGATCAAGAAACAATAATCAGGCTTTTCAAGAACCCTGTTTGTATCATAAAAAGTGGGCTCCTTTGTGCACATGCGCAGATCGGACTGTAGATCACCTTTAACATTCCTAAAATCGTATGTTTTTTGTTTTTCGATTTTGTTACATTTTGGCGGGAAAATGACGTGCCAACTTTGGCGCCAAAAAATTAAACACGATCTAAGAACATGCTAGCAACTTTCTTGAAGAGATTGTTCTATAAGGATCTCAAAACTGTAAAAACATTAAAAATACAACAAGGCAGCGCGAAGATATGGCGATTCAAAGTGAGAAAAAAATCTATTTTTTGTAACAAAATGGCTGATTTTTCAGTAAAAATAGAACTTTAAATTTACGTGGTGTTTCCACAAACAAAACTATTAAACTTGTTGATATTATCAGACTTGTTTTGTTCCAACAAGTCCGATACAGTCATGATATAGCAGCATTGTTACAACCTTGTGTCGTCAACCTTGTAACATTTAGTTATTCGAGTCGAATATGAGCTGATAGCCGATGAGGCGCGTAGCGCCGAATCGGCTATCGCTCATATTCGACGAGAGTGAGTGGAATAACTGTTTTATTATATACACAAGGTCTGAATTCACAGACTTAGCTTTTCGGATATTTTCAATATTTTTCTATTTTGTTTATGTTTTTATCTTCGTTCTTTCGACCACCCAGGGTATCTTTCGACCGATTAGTTTTTCAAAAATATATATTTTTAACCATTTTAAATTTTAAAAAATTATTTGCTAACCTGAAAACAATTTGTGGGAGTTCTTTCATTGTGTTTTTAATCCTGTGAAGGCTATAAAAAGCGACAACTTTCAGTTTTCTCGTTTGCAAAACATCGTAAATTCAGTTTGGCCGCCATTTTGTTTTTCTCTGCTAGCAGGATATGAGCTAATATCCTGCTAGTAGAGAACCAATCAGATTGCAGAATACCTCATATCCAGACCTTGTGTATATAATAATCTTGTTTATCATGACTGTATCAAACTTGTTAGAACAACCTTGTAACAAGTCTGATCATGCCATCAAGCTTGTTCCAAGTTGTTAACAGCTTGTTCCAAACTTGTTACAACAACTAGGAACAAGCAGTGCGAAGACAACTTGTCAACAGCTTGTGAACAGATTTGTAACAACTTGTTTGCAGACCTGTCACAACTTGCGTGTTTTTATACGTGTGTACAACAGAACCGTTTTGATTTTTGAAGAAACTGTGGCAATGAGAACACAAGACCTAGAGCTTAAGAAATGAAAAATACATGAACAACCGAGTGTTCATTGTTGATATGAATATATATGAAATTCGTTATATACAATTTCTTTCCAATTTCAAGTGAAATCTGCGAGAGAGGAAGACGCCTTATTGAAGCTTTGTGTTATTGTATGTACTATTTTGAAGAAAAATATGCAAGTAGGTTGTCATATTTCAGTCGTACTTAAAGACCAATTAATTTTGAAAATTGTTTATGGTAAGAACCTTTCTTTAATTTGTCGTATTTAAATTTTCGGCTGTTTTGCTCAAAAATTATCTCGTAAGTTTGTTTATAAGTGTTTTATATATGAAAGTCTGGCTATTTCACGAAGCACTACAACCGAAATATGGCAACCTGTTTGATCGTTTTTTTGTTCAAAATAGTGGATACACAAACTTCATAAGGCGCTTTTCTCGGTTTGCAACAGGTCTGTCGCAAGTTGTTGAAAACAGCATTGCTGCAGCTCTGTGTCAACAACTTGCGACAGGCCTTTTGAAAACTGCATTGCTGCAGCACTGTCACAACAACTTGCGACAGGCCTGTTGAAAACAGCATGCGCAGCTCTGTCACAACAGCTTGTAACAGACCTGTTGACAGGCCGTTGCGGACCTGTCAGAACCGACGGGTACAAGGCGAGTGAACGCATCCAGATATCGTCTTGTTGACAACAGGTATTAACAGATCTGTTGCAGATCTGTTCCGACTTGCGCGAAATTGGCTGTGTAGTAATTGCAGTTATTAATATAATTGTAAAGAATATAATTTGCATGAATATAATTGTAAAGACAGTTCCTACAAATAACAAAAATCTAGAAAAATCTTTACCTTGCTAACCCTTGCGCATACCTTTTCTTCCGCCCGCGCTTGAAACACAGAGACGACTGGGGACGAGTCAGTGTCCGTACTGTTGCGTTTGATGTGGAAAGTATCCTTAAAACTGTATTCTATATGCACAACGATAAAGCAACGATAAAAATGTTATGGAGGAAGAAAACAAAATTGTCAATAATGGTGACATTTTTCTTAGCTTTCCTATTTGTCGTTTCCTATAAGTATAACTACTATATTCTAACGGAGCAACAAGCGTTTGTATAGACACTGAAACAAACGACGTTGTCACACAAATCCTGAAAGAAAGTATCAAATGGTCAGAAATCAAGCGAAGATGAAGACTAAAAAATGCCACAATTCACGAAAGATGGATAGTCGTGACTTCAGTGTCGATGCCAACCGAGCAAGTGAAAGGATTGTCCACAATTAAAGGATGGAAGCTTGTTGTCGTCGCGGATCTAAAGACGCCAGATAATTGGAAGTATGTCAGTATAGTATATAGACACGAGTCGTATGGCGAAAGTCGGAAAAACAGCATCTTGAGAAATTGAAGATATGGACTGAAACAATTTTGTTACGACACAAGTTACCGATGAGAATTGCAAGGTGTATAACATGCTTCGCAATCATCAAGCGTCGCAACATTTTTGTTGCACGGAGTAGAATCAATGTTGCATCAAATGTGTTGCGTGATGTAACATAGCTTGCAATGTAATACTGAAATTTCAAATTGTTTTTCTCGACATTGCGTGCCACGTTGCATGGTGGCAATGCCGATACTGTGATTGAAATATTTGCATTAATTCAATTTTCACTCACGAGTCATTGGCAAACCATTCGTATTTCGGCATTTGCAGACACAATTTTTAGCGAAGAATTTAATGTCGCCGTAGATTCGTATAGTGGAATCGTAGTATAAATATGTGTCACGATTTCACGTAGTCATTACTGCTAGAAATTTGGTGGAAATTCTCTCACCAAATAGGTAATCACCAGTGTCGTAGCCAGAACGATAATTGGAGGGGCACATATTCATAGATTCGTGTCAGTCTGCTTTACTAATTTCTTTTGAAATCAATTGTTTTTATGGTATGTGAACACGAATATATGAACTATATGTGCCCCCCCCCCCCCAATTATCATTCTGGCTACGGCACTTGGTCACTAATCACCCGGGAAGGAGTGCAATTAATTCAATTTTCCTTGTCCAAAAGCAACCGAACTTAACAGGAACGCGACAGCCAAATCAACCTCAGACCCAGGGTCTTTCTTATGGAAAGACCCTGGCGAACGCTGGTCACGTGTCTCCCATAATATGGGAGATGGAAATTTTGTCTTACTATGGAGGGGAGGCTTCGTACAATATTCCCAGGTGAGCGTAAACAGAGTTATTTACATTGTATATCTAAAGCCAACGATCTAATTTATTGAAAAGTTTACAATTTCCATCTCCCATATTATGGGAGACACGTGACCAGCGTTCGCCAGGGTCTTTCCCAGGGACGCCGGAACGATAATAGGGCAAAGGGGGGCGGACGCACACCAAGGGCACCTTTACTGAAAATGTTTTTTTCCACTGCAAAATTTTGGGCGACCCCCCCCCCCGTCGCCAAAAAAATTTCGGTCAGTGTACCATTTTAGGGGTCAAAAATTTTTTCCGGACATACAAAAATTTTCCGTGAAGCCAAAATTTTTTCTGCATATCTTAAATTTTCGCCATTTCTTCAAAATATTTTTCTAAATTCCAAAAATTTCCCAAAATTTTTATAAATATAAACTATAAATTACCTGAATCTCGTGATTTTCCTACAAAAAGCATCGTTGGAAATGTGATTTATCACGTATTATTTTACAACTAAAAGGGCACTTCTGCCCCCCCTGCCCCCCCCCCTAGCAAAAGGCAAGGGGGGCAGCCGCCCCCCCTGCCCCCCCAGTTCCGGCGTCCCTGGTCTTTCCATAAGAAAGACCCTGGATACGAGGTTGCAGCCAAATAGTTGCAGCGGATATCGCAGCTTGAAACGTGGCGTTGACGTTGTATACTGACAATTAAGACGTGGCTGTAATCTGTATTCTGCCGTTGACGTTGTATTTACTCAGAGCACAGATTGATAGAAGTAGGCGCTCAGAGGCAGAGCAACACCGACGGTGGCCGTCTAAAACGTATATGTGGCCTGTGGGATTTTAGTTGTAAATTTCTGCCCATTTTCATGCATTAATATATTATTAATAGGTGTCCTCGTTGACGTTGCACTTTTGTCCTGCTTGTTGTCCTGCTACCGAAAATACCGGTATTGTCTATTGAAACCAAAAATATCGCCCAGGGCCCTATCTCGGTACGTTTCAGTCATAATAATCTATTTATATACCGTCTCAAATTTACACACCATGTATATGGCGAAATCATCACTATTTTGTTTTAGTTAAATGCAAAGTACCCAAACTGCTAAAGTGTAGACATTTCATGTT